ACGCCGCGCCCGCCGCCGCACCCTCGGGGAAGGTCGCTCGGGGGCAGTGCGGGGGTCTGCTCTCCGGGCATGGCCAAGCAGCCTTTCCCGAAACACTCGCCAAAAAAAAAAAAAAAAACCCAAAAACCAAATAACCCATTTAAAAATCCGGGGTCGGGTCTCATGGCGGAGCCCTGATTTTCCCTCCTGGTCTCCTCCTCACATGCCCCTGGCTCTGGCTTTGCGCGGTGGAAAGAGGCAGCGCCACCAACCTCGACCCGGTTCGCGAGAACCTTGGAAGTTTAGACCGGTGTCCTGAAAACTTGTGTAAAACTTATTTCATCCACGGGCCACCTGACGAAAAAAAAATATATATATATCCGAGGACACCAGGCATGAATCATTTTCCTCAGGTTTTGTATACGCGCGTATAAAAATCAGGCGAACCCTTTAAACTTTATGTTAAAGGCGGCGAAGTCCATGAAAGACTTTTTGCCCTATTCTAGCTGCGAGCTGCAGGCAGACCATTTGATTTATTTCTATTTTTCAAAGGAATGGAGAAAGTCGTCCGATTAGCAGTGGTATTATTATAATCTCCATTCTTAAACCTTGAAAGACCCTTGTAAACAATCGGCTCCTTCTCCCAGCCCGGTTCCCACCGCCGCTTAGTAATGACTGGAAGATTAATGAGGCTTTTTTAGCAACACCTGTCTTTTTAAGCTGTCGACACAACCAATTAATAGTTTTAATTACCACTACAAGGAAACTAACCAGAACCTTTCTGATTTGATTTGGCCGCTGAATTTTATCCCCTCTGAAACGAAGCAGCCCCAACGCCAGGCAGGGCAGCCGGTGGCGGGGCGGGGGGGAAGCTGGTTTTGCCGTGGGTTTGTTTTGCCTCGGGCTGGACTGGGGGGGGATTCTTAGTTTGAGGGGACAAAAATTTGTCTTCGCTTTATTTCGCTTCGCTTTTCCCCGCACCTTTAGAAGTATTTTGCCATCCCTTTCGAGGAGAGGAAAACAAAAGCGCTTGTTGACAGGACCCCGGAGCTCAGAAGTCCCCCGGCTCCCCGAAAACCGGCGGCCCCGGGGGCGGCGGGGGAAAGGCTGGAGGGAACAAGCAGCCGCTTAGACAAAAGTTACCATAGGGAGAAATTGGGGGGGAGGCCGATCCGAGTCGCACCGAGTTCAGGGCAGTTTTTACGAGTTATTTCAACGAAGGAGCGAGTGCCCCGCCGGCGGAGCCGGCAGGACCGGGGGCAGGCGGCACGCCAGCTCCCCGGACCGAGCGGGAGCTCCGCGCTCTCCTCGGGGCTGGGCTCGGCCCTTCCCTCACCCCCATTTCCTCGGGGGTGTCCGGTCTTCATGTGAATAATCGAACAGCCGAGCAGGAGATGGGGCAAAAACTTGAACAGAAAGTGTGTTTTCCGTTCAAGCGGCGCGAGGGCGATCAAAAGTTCACAGCTGCCTGTGAGCGGTGCCGGCCGGCCCCTCTATCTCCAAAAATCCCCTTTCAGCCATAGGGTGTGTAGGTCTGCGTCCCGCTTTCCAGAACTGCCTGAAGTGCTAGGAAATGGGGTTCCTAAGGAACCCCCGACCTTCTCCTGGGGGACATTTCAAAGGGCGTGATCAAACCTTGCCCCCCACGCACATGTTTCCCAAGGCGACGTGAAGTGGGCAGCAGCATGCGGGAAAGAAGTGAGAGCACCCAGCTCGGGATGCTTCACCCCGGCCCATCCTCAGTGGGCTTTTCCCTCCCCCCCACCCCTCCAGCCCCCAGCTACGGCATGTGCATCGCTGGGAGTTCCTCCGATCGAAAGTCGGGAGCTGGGGAGCAAAAGGTGGTGGTCTTTAGGTTAAACGGGCACCTCTCCGCCTGGCAAAGCCCCCCCGTGCTATTCCTTTTCTGCTCTCCTTTGTGTTATCTCTCATTCTGCCCAGGCCTCTCAGAGTTGTGCCGTAAAGGCGATGTCCCACATTAAAACAATATGAATTCGCGAACGGATCCTGAATATGAATGAGGTATGTGGTCGTACGACTGCTTTTAAGCTGTACTTCTCCGAATATGGCTTTAATTAAATGTCTTCCGGCTCTAAAAGATTACATGTTGTGCAAAATATATCCTAGCATGAAATTTACTTCCACGATACGAAATTAGGTTACTTATAAATGTCTTCATTTAAAAAAGAAAATCGCTTCTCCTCGTTCTGGTTTCTGTTTTGTTGAACAGAGCGCTCCAACGAGGAAAGAGGGTTGGGATAATATATTTATAGAGGCACGTGTAACAAAACCTGCCAGAAGCGGAGTGGGTGAGGGCTGCTTGCTCAAATTCAGACAATTCACAAAACAGGCAAGTTAATCCAGATCTGATTTGTTTCAGATCCAGCTGTCAGAACCCCGGGATACCTCCCGCGTCTATTGCTGCAGATATCTAACGTGGTCTTACCACCTCCCCCACCCCGTCCCTTCCTCCTGCATTTATTCCGTGCGAAGGATGCTCGGAGGGAAGAGGGGTCAGGGCAAACAGGTGGAGAAAGGTGACGATCCCCACTGGCGAAAAAAACCCCAAAAATAATTCTTGGCGGGGTGAAGGTGGAGGATAGCGTCGTGGTTGAGACTGGGATCAGTTAATCGGGCGAAGCAGTTTCACTCCGCCAGTGAAATCGCGCTCGGTGTCAAGAGCTTTCCCGCTCCGGACGGTGGATGCAGGGGGAATCCACGGTGCTGGAGGCGACGCTCTGTTTGTCTGTTTCGTTTTACGCCCTCAGACACGGGACCTCGCCTAAGCTGAGTTTCTATAGAGAGATCAGATAATGGATCCCTCCGGATTACCTTTCTAAATTAACTTTTAGATTTGTTTTTATAGTCCGTTGAGACCCTGACAAAAGAGGCTGTATCTAGATACAGATACGAGATAAACATATAAAGCAATCTCATTACACGGGAATGAGAGAAGAACTCTCCTTGCAATCTACTCTAGATAACGAGGCTGCCTGAAGAAACAAGTAAAGCCGAGATATTTACTTCTTTTCCTATTAAATAAACCTCAATAACTGCATTGACTTTGCGCAGTGTTTACTACATTTCCATTCAATGCTTGGGTAAATGCATCCCTAAAGGTAGAGTAAATAATTGCACTGATCTCAACAAGGGAAATGTGTAGGCATTTGAAGTGTACTAAAAATAAACGAAGGAGAAACAGACTGAAGAGAGAGGACATCGCGCTCGTTTGCCGCAATTAAACCCTCTGCTTTCGCTCGCCGGCATCGGAGGCTTCCAGAGCGCAGGCGGGGTCACACGTTCCCCGGGGCTGTCCCCGGGACGGGACCCGAGTGGCCGTGGGGAGCCGCGGCCCGACCCGTGGCGGCCGGGCTGGGGAGGGCTCGGCGCGGCGCCTGGCTCGGGGGAGACGTTGGCCGCCGCCGCGGGAGAAATTGCAGCCTCTCTGCTGACTTGAAAGAGCCTCGAGTTTCCATTCGCCTCCGAGCCCTTCAGGACGGGCACTTAGGAGCAGTGGGGTTTTTTTGTTGTTGTTGTTTTTTTAATTGGCTGGCGTCTTCTTCTTCTGCCAGAAGAAGGGTTTTTTCTTAATTGTTGTTGTTTTTTCTTTCATTCGAAAAGAAAACAAAACAACAAAACTCCCCGCTAAAACCAACATCTCTATTTCAGCAGCACCCGAGCAGGCGGGGACGCCTGCCAAGCGAAAGCCTCCCAGGCGGAGGGCTGCGAACCTGCGGCTGCATTGGGGGAGGCTCTCCCCTGACCCACGGAGGGGAAGGCCCCCCCACGCCACTCCCACGTAAGGCTCCCAGCGGAGGGGCGAGGTGGGCAAACCCACCCGCTCAGGATATTTACAGGCATCCCGCACGCCGGGGCCGGGGTCGCCGTGTGGGCAGAGAGGGAGAGACCCGTCCGGGGGGGGTTGTCTCGGTTCAGGTGATGTGGATGCACACCTGGCCAGGTGCGGAGAGAAGCAGGCGACCAGGCCCGCCGCGGGGGTCCCGTCCCCCAGCCCGGC